AGATGCAATAAGCGCACACAAATTCTGCGATGTTCAACAGAATCAAATGCACCAGTAAATCTAGAGATCATCTCAGTGAGTTTATTGAATGAGAGTCTTATCTCAGTCTCATCCTCATCAAAAGGAATAGTCACAGAAGTTTCTGAGAAACTACGCCCTTGAAATTCCTGTGCTAATAAGCCACGTAAAACTTTACGTTTATCCTCCACGGTATTAGGGACTTCCAAACCTCTGATATGAATCTCGTAGTGGAGTTCATGACTTAATAAGTCATTTGGGCTTAGTCTAGACTGAACCATGATTGAGAAATAAACCTCAAAGAAACACTTGAAAGAAAAAAATTAAAGTTAAAAACCTGAATACGTCAAGAAATGACAAGGATCTAAAACACTATAAAAAAACTAACAATACAAACAAAAAGTTTCAATACAAAAACAGGAGCAGCCGAATCTTAAAAAAAATTATTTTATATCTGACATACATTAAAAGAGTACAGAGACGTTCAAGTCCTGTTAATCCAATGGAAAATCAGACACTAATGTTCTAATTTCCCCCAAAGAATATGCCAGATAAAACTATAAAACATTAAAATTATGAAAACTTTTGCTCCAAACAAGAGACAAAATTACTACAATAGTTACTGAGGAACGTATACTATTTCAACAACAAGTTGAAGTTTAATTATCATAAATGAGTATGTGTGTCTTTGTATAGGTAAAAATGATTTAGGAGTCACCCCCTCATTGAAAAGTAGCAAAAATATAGTCAAGAAAAACATCATTTGTTTCTTGAAAAAAAAGAAAGGTAAGTATCAAAGTACTATGTCCAAGTGTCAATACTTGAAAAAAGTAAACCGCCAAAATATACGAAAAATTATGAATATCAATTTCATATAATTCAGAAAAATGGATAAATCGCAAAATGATTTACTCCAGATAACTCTAGTCAGTAGATTATTGCCATCAGAATGAAAACAAATGATCAAAAGTTCAAGTACAGTCAAAAATTCAAAAAGTAAATACATTTGGGGAAGGCAAAAATAATTTTGAAAGTAAATTTCCTACGTACCAAACATCATGAGAGCTATATCAGTACACCAGAGATCCAACAATTAGGCTATATATGCGTACATGAAAAGTCTCAAGAAATCAAAAAACTGCACATGAAGAAATACTTTCAAAAACTAAGAGGTTAGTGATCAGAAATGAAAAGCATATAAGAATATGTAAACTATCAACAACAATAGTCACAACCTCAGTCAAAAGTTTGATGATATTCGACAAAAATGCTGGGAAACCTAAAGTCCCCAGACTATCAATATTCAACAACAAAAAAATATCAAAATATCATCAATCTCAAAAGTACAATGAGAAAAAAGTTATAACTGTCCCCAGCAGTAAATAAAAACTATAGTAGTATGTGATAAAAAAAAAATTCTGGCAATGATCTCGCTGACTACTAAACAAGACAATTTAAAAGTTAATAGTATGCCTATGAAATAAACAGGTGGAAAAATTTTAATCTTTTGATAAAAATTTTAAACATTAAGCAAAAAGTAAGGATGATTAAGGAATTAGAAATTTGAGTACCAAAAGCAATTAAAAATAGAAATGCTGCCAAAGATTGTAAAGAATTTTGAAAACTATGTTCTGTCTGCCAATCTTCCACTAGCAAACCACTTGTCGACAAAGCCAAACACCTATCGAAGCCTCACGTTGCGGGTGCCAATTTATGTAACGCTTCCTTTCCGCAAAAAGTCCAGAAAAGATGGAATGCAATGAAGATTCCAACTTTTCTGCACAATCACAGAAAGGGGGTTACAATTAGCTTCCGGTAGCTCAGTCGGTGGCATGAAGACATCTACAGGCGTGTAGCTGTGTGTCGACCATGGCATGGCTAGAGGATAGAAGAACAAACAGAACACAAAAATTTAACAGATTTTATTTAACAAAAAAAAAGGCATTTTCATTACATTACAATTTTACAAAAATAACAAAACAAGTTTTACATCTTTGGCGCTGCTATAACGCTATCGACTTATCTTTCGCTGGTCCATTTTTACTCGACTGAAGCCAGGATGGCCAGGGGCTTGAAGGGGAGGTCCCAGTTGTGAGGGGTGACCTCACATATAGTGGCTTCGTAACCAGTTGTAGGCGAAGTTAAAGGCGATGGCGCTGCCAAGGCACATGCATGGGTGAAAATATTGGCCAAGGCTAGGCAAAGTGAAATGGAAAGAGAAAAGGGGGTGGCCCCAATCATTTTTGTCCTATACGGACACACATTCTAGAAAATTCTAGCACATGGTGCTATATAACCTTGTGCTACTGAGAAGAAATTTCTAGCCGTTGTTCGATCGGCGGCTCAGGTGAAAAGGAAGCGCGAGGAAGATCGCAGATCAGGAACTCCGCATCAAGCGCTCCAAGCGGAAAATTTTCCAAGCAAAAAAGCTAGTGATGGGATTAATGAAATGATAATCGAGAAGTGATTTAATAAATACGATCGGACGGTGAAACCGTTACAAGTTTTACCATTCAACAAAGCGGTCGGGTATTAGAATGACGATAATGACGTGTGGCAAAGGTTATGCTTGTATGGGATGTTTTTTCAACTGTATTACAATTTTTAATCCTTCGGATTCATCATTTACTTAGACGATTGCAACTACAATTTGTCAAGTATGTTCGCTAGAAACAACTGTATGGTTTCCAAATTACCTGAATGTGATTGAGGTACAGTTTTCAATCCTTCATTACGCTGATTATGGCCACCACCAACATTTTTGCTTGCTGTTCCTTGATTTTGAAAACTACTTGGATTCTGGTTAGTTTTGCCAGGTACGTTCCAACCATATGGTCTTTGGTTGGATGTAGCACTCTGTTGGTTGTCAATATTTCCTTTTCTTTCGTTTAATCCCGGTGAATTGCCAGATTTTTGAGTGTTTCTGTTGCCTGTGTTCCACCAACTACTTCTCGCCTGTTGGTTCACATTCGTACCTTTTTGGCTAGGTATATTCCAACCATACGTCTTAGGAGCATTTGCATTCGGATTGTTGTCAGTATGTTTGGTACTGGATGGAGTACGTCTATGGCCTGCTGCGTTGTTGCGGTTTCCAAATAGAGACCAACCAGCATTAGTTTGCTTATTCACCGATGAGGCTAAAATAGCAGCTAAATTTCAAAATATAAATAACAAATAGAAAAATTAATGGACAAAGTCCGCAAAAAGGATGAAAGTGGATTCAAGCTGAAAATAGGATAGGTAACCGGAAGACACGTATTTCTGCTAGTTGGATTCATCAGGCCCGAAATGAATGCACATATGAAACTACAAAAATAGATACACATGCCCATACATCCGGATACGGGTGTAACCTGAGGAAACCGAGATGGAGACCTGGAGTTTGCCACTTGTCGTGATACTTCAAGCCCAAATGATCTACAAAAAGCAAAGTATCAGACGGAGAAAGGTATATAACAAATTAAGGGACAAAATCCGGAAAAAGGACAGTAGCTTGGAGCAGAAAACTGTCATGTACGTTTTTATGGGAATTTCGTTCATTATAATGTTTATGGTATAAGGTAGTGGCATGTAGGAAATAAAGTTGTCTAGTATTAAGCATCCCTGTTTTCTTATATAAATAGTTTGACGGATATAATCTTGGCTTATGGAAAATGGCTTTTAAAACAGCTTTTGGTGCTACATTTAGATCTCACATATGTCCTGCGGGTGGCACCCCAGGCTGTGATGCTGTATGTTATATGGGTTTAAGTATAAGGCACTAGCAATTTTTGATGACATGCAATATGGATATACCACCTTAAATGTGAGTCTATAAATACTCCTATACATTTTAAATTGTTCACTCTTATCGATTTTTGTTTTTTGGACATGATAATTAACGGAAATTTGTTCGAAGCTAGGTAAACATTTTGAATAAGATGTGAATGCAATAAATTATGTTTTCTTGAAGTTCAGTGTTAAAATATTACTATCAAACCAATTAATGATCCTCATAAAATCCTTTTCAGAGATTTGCTTTAGTATATTCCAGTCATCAGTTCTTTATAATAAGAGGGTGTCACTTGCATAACATATTATCTTTCTAGAAGTAATGATTTTGCGTAACTCATTCAAGTAGACATTAAATAATAGTTCTGTTTTTTGAAGCACAACACATTTGATGTACCTACATTTTTTAACGGAAAATGTGAGATTTTGACATATTTATTTACTTCTTCTTTATATTCTGTTTCAGGAGTCAATAAATATTATTATATTATTATTATTATTTAGAGTATTTCTATAAACTCGAAACAGATAAAATGCTGGGTATCAGTTGAGGAAGACTTCACTTTAAGCAACTGATCTTAGACACCTACGAATTTTCGTACTAGATTGCAGGTTTGCAGGATAACTGCTTTTTGCATCAAGGATGTAGTCCATTAGGTAGACCGATTAATTGGAGGTTTGGATGGAGGTTATCACTAATAGCTCCGTCGACAGGTATCACATACGGCAAGATATGTATAGTGTTCAGTCTCCATATCCGTTTGATCTCCATTGCCAAGTTCTGATATTTTCTGATCTTCTCATGTTCAGTTTTCAGCATATTGTGAGTACATGGGATGGCAATGTCGATTATATACGCTACTTTGCTTTGCTTTTCTATTACCACAATATCTGGACGGTTGAAGTCCACTGTCTTATCCGTAAGAACGGGTAGGTCTCAGTATATTAAAACTGTATCAGACTCAAGCACAGGGTCTGGTGAATACTTATAGTAAGGTTCTGGTTTATTGTTGAGCTGATACTTTGTGGCAAGTCGTGAATGGACGATCTTTGCTACTTGGTTATGGCTTGTTTGGTAATCATTTTCACACAAACTAGGGCACCCTGATGTGACATGCTCGATGTTTTCTCCAGGCAGATTACACTTTCTGCGTTTGTCTTCATTGCCCAGTTTCAGGATATGTTTCTCGTAATTTCTTGTTCTTATTACCTTATCCTGAATCGCCATGAAGAACCCACCAGTCTCTGGTTGAAATTAACCTTTAATGAGAAATCTAATCGATTCGGTTCTGTTTATCTTACTAGCCGAGAGCTGTGCAGGGTACCTACCGTGTAGAGACCCTGCACAGGCAGCAATCCTTCTGGATCTATTATTAGGTGATTCTTGATTTTGCTGCCCTTCTAAGTTGACTGGTGAGAATGACTTGTCAGTCTCTACAATGCGACGGATGTTTGGATGGATATTGTTTTCACAGTATATTTTCATCTTGTACTCTTGATTTCGACACAAATCGTTCACGTTCAGTAACCCTCGACCACCGTCTTTCGTGATAGGTACAGACGTTCCACCGAGGAGTTTCTATGAACTGACCTAAACTTGATTAGTAGTCGACGAGTCAGGCGATCGAGCTTATCTAAATCAGTATCACAGACCAAATGAATAAGTTAGTGACGGTTCAGCCCAACAATGTATTGCTTTTATTAAATTTTTCGCATTAAGCTTGCAGTTCAAGATTTTCGTTAATCGTCTTTTGTACTTATTTGTAAACTCATTCTTCAGAGTTGTATGGGGAATACCTCTGTTCCGCTGGACTCCAAGATATTTATACAGAATATAATTTTAAGTCATCCATAAACAATAAGTGAGAATATCGAACTTGATATCTTATCTGTAGTCGAAAACCCGCAGACGATTGGTTAATCAATTCAGACAAGGGATTAATTGCAATACAAAACCATAAGGGACTTAAAGAATCATCTTGGAATATACCCCGCTTGATATTGACGTCACCTAAGCTGATACAATTGGCTGTAAGAGAGGTGCGCCAGGTTTTAGATAGATGTGCAAGTGGGGTTTTGATATTTTCAGATGTTTTATATATTTCCAGAGTCTTCAGTAGTTGTGCGAAACTGAGTCAAGGGCTTCGCGTAGTCTACTTAGCATGCGAAGAGATTACGCTTTTTCCTTTGTGCCTGACCTAAAATTACAGCATCTATAGTTAGATGCTCCTTGCATCTTATTACTAATCAATGCGGACAAGAGCTTGTAAAATACAGAAAGACAGGTTACCGGTGTGTAGTTCCGTGGGTCCTGTTTGTTGCCTCTTTTGTACTGGAGATAGGTAACGCCCTTTGTTAAATACTGGGGAATAACATTTGGATCCAGCAGAGCTTTATTATAGATTCACAATAACGGTTGATGACTTGCACTGAAGTATTTTACCCAGAAATTTTGCACCCTGTCTGGTCCTGGCGCCTTCCAATTTTGGAGCTTTTTAAGTCCAAAGGTCTTCGTTAGTGAAAGTTGTATGTGACATCATGGGTGTGCTTCCGTGCTATTGTGTAACCATGGCGCGCTTAAGTCTGCTTCCGACCTATTGGTCCAAACAGACAGAAATTCACTTTTGTCAAGTTGCTCGTTTGAAAATGATTCAGCCTGGGTATCATCCAATGAAGTGTAATAACGCATTTCGCTAGTGTGAAACAGACGGTTTTGGTATTTCCTTTTAGTCGCTTCATCATAACGCCGGAGTCTAGCACCTTTAAGTTTAGGCTTTTGCCTTAAAATATCTCCATAATCAATTAGTTTCTTGCACGCTTCATTGTCATTGGGCGCTATTTTCAAAATATTTCTTATATTATCAATCTTACGCAAGACTTTACGCGACACTGTTCCCTTCAAATATGTATCTATCAAGTCATACTAGGCCCTTATGCCATCTATATCCTTCTCCAATCTAGTTTTCCAGGCGGTTGAACGCATTCAAAGTGTTAACATGAATGGTTTGGTCATTTAACGTAAGAACTGTAGCAGCAGCAACGTAGACACTTGTATGGATCTCAGTGAAATCTTCTTCATTTTGTAGGTGCTTGTTCAGGTAATCGTTGACTTGTCCCATTAGTTTTCTCGATTGGCCCTTTTCTATCAACTTCGGAAGCCTAGGCCGTATGGAAATATCCATGTTTTCGTATAACCTAAGATTACTGATAAATAACGTATCTACGTCAATAAGCTCTGCTGTTGGAGATTGACTTTCGGTACCTGCGGTGTATTCGATGTCAATATTAAACTGTTCTACAGAGAGTACTGACCTTATTTCTCTACGGATACTTGAAATTTCCATTTGACTTAGGTAGCATTTTCTTATGATAACATTTTTCCGATCTACCACATTCTGTTCCGTTAAATTGAGTTCAGGATGCCTTTTGCAGAGTTTCTTATGGAGCTGATGTCTCCATCCTGGTAGCGGATCGTCCCTACAGTCGTTGACGTAAAAAAAGGAGAGGATGATATCGGCATTTAATTCTCTCGTCCATATAATACGTCTATTTTGCAGTCTCCCCTAACAGCCACCTGTGTATCAGTTGGCGAGTCATGGGCTTCACCGATTCCTTGAACTTGTGGGTCTCCAATGGCTGGATCTTCGTTCATCGCAGGGTCGTTTTGAGATGTCAAGATGTTGCCCCCCAGAATCCGTGGGGCAGACAGTCGAGACGGTGAAGTATTACCTCTGCCTGCCTGGGGTATATTTGATCGTTTTGCATTTGACATACTTACATATATTAATAAATAACGTTTTTAAGGCACTCTGTTGGAAGGTCGAGGTACATAGTAGTTAAACAGCCACCCTACTAGGGAACAGACGCTGACCAGGGAGCCGCCCATTCTGAGGACAGACGCTCCTGGATTTAGCTTTGCCATTGCCCTGTTTGCCACCCAAGATGTCAAAGGGTGTCCCTCACGTGACAAGAATCATATTTGTGGTATACAATTGTTGGCTCGGACGTAGAGTTGGACTTCGGGGGAATATTATTATTATTATTATTATTCAACATTCCTCACTTCCCAATTGGAAGGTAAACAATAGTTAGCAGTATAGGCACCGGGAGTGATATTTATTTCCTTAAGTGAGTACCTTTCTGATAGTGTGTGCTGTTTTTAGGATCACTATTTTCTGTAATAAATGTAGGTTATGTTTTCCAGGTATTTCTTCTACCAACTTTGATGTGTTCTTTGTTATCAAACCAGTTGCTCCTGTGACAATGGGCACTATTTTGGTTTTCGATCCGCACATCCGTTGTACCTCTATCTCTAAATCCTTGTACTTAATTATCTTTTCGGCTTCTTTCTCAATGAGGTTATAATCCGGTGGGTCTGCAACATCTACGAGCATGCACTTTTTTTCTGCTTATCTTAAATTACAATATCTGACATATTTGCTGGTATGTGTCTATCTGTCTGTATTTGCATGTCCCAGATGATTGTAACTTCAGGGGTATCGACTACAGGTTCCGGCTGATGAAGGTACCATTTATCATCAGTTGGTATGTTGAAATGCCTACATATTATGTTCCAGTGCAAGTGTGACTAGCTACAGAGTTATGTCAATCTAGGTATTCCTTTGCTGCTACTATTGGACAGCCTGATACAATATGTTGCACTGTTTCGTTATATTCTTTGCACAGCCTGCATTTAGGATCGTTAGAAATGCCCAAGATTTTAGATTTGTAGTACTTAGTAGCTAACGCCTGGTCTTGACATGCAGTTATAAGAGCTTCGGTTTCCCCTTTCATTTCACCAATCGTCGACCAATTCCAAGTGAGTGACTGATGCATTTGCTCTCTGTGTGCTTCTCTTACGTGTTGTCCATGTAAAGGTTTGTTTATCCATTTATGCTTGATTCCATTCCCGAGTATCTGTTTACACTGATTTCTTATTTCTTTTACTACGTTTTTACTTTGATCTCTTGTACCTCTGCTTTCAGCACTGACATATTCAGGCACATCAGGCAAAAGGCGGGATATTTCTTTTTCCTTAGAGTCATAGACAAATTTCATGAGCTTGTCATCCTTTTTCAACGTTATGTATTTGGAAATTCCTGTGAGAGTAGTAGTAAGTGCCGATTGTATGTGTAAGGAACCTCTTCCACCTTCCGATCTTGGAGTATATGAATATCTAATCAACATCTGCACGAGGATGCAATAAGCCGTGCATAGTAAGAAGTTTCCCAGTTTTTGTGTCTAGCTTTCGTATTTAATCCTTATTGCAGTCTACTATCCCAATACTGTATGGAATCACTGGAACCGCCAAGCCGGGGATCGCCACACAGAATAAATATTCTTAGCGTTGAGCTGTGACCTAAGTATCAACCTGACTCTGCTACAGTATTACGCCTTAATCCGCTTTTTCATTTCTGTATCTTGCGTACCATCTCTCTCGTTGATTCCTAAATACTCCATCATGAGTTAGTTCCTGAATTTCTGTGGTTTCATCTAATTTGATGTTTGTAGTGGTATGGAGTTTTTCTTTAATGAATGTAGCTTTGACGCACTTATCGAGACCGAAATACATCTTAATGTCGTCACTAAACGTTTTGACAATTTCCACTTGACTTTGAAGCTCTTCGTCATTTTTTGCTATTAGATATAGGTCATCTATATAGAGCATATGTGATATCTTGTTGACCCTTTTTCGTCAAGTACCCTGTCCCTGAATTGTGTAACAATGTCGTAAGGGGTATTCGAGACATGCAGAAAAGTAGCGGTGTTAGCGAATCGCCTTGGAATACACATTCTTGATTGGTATGTTTTTCACGTTCACTTGGTTCCTTGTGCTCTTTAAGTGCCAATCCACCTTCCATGGATTCATGGACTCTTTAATAAAGTCTACTAATAAGTCAGGCATTTTATATAGCTTCAATACTTCTAATAACCACGAATGAGGAACACTATCAAACGCTTTTTTGTAGTCTATCCAACAGAGGCTCATATTCTTGTGTGTTGTCTTATAATATTGTAACAAAGTCTTACTGACTAGCAGGTGTTCTTTAGTCCCATATGAATTCCGGGTACAGCCTTTCTGTTCTGTTGGATAAATATTATGCTCATCGAGCTGTGAATATATCCTGCTTGAAAAAATGCTGGTTGCATTTTTAAAAGTTGTAGTTAGGTAGGTTATCGGCCGGTAGTTTTTCGCCTGCTTGGTGTCACTGCACTGGTATTAGATAAGTGTTTCCTTTTGTCAGCCAATCTGGGATAGTTTATTTCCTTCTTATCATGTTGTTGTAGGCTTTGGCTAGACACGAATGCACTGAATGAAATCTTTTCAACCAGAAGTTCTGTATGCCGTCAGGGCCTGGCGCATTCCAATTAAAAGCCTTTTCTAAAGCCTTACTGACTTTTTCCTCCGTGATATCTGTCCAATTCATTACCGGGACAGTACTGCGTATCGTTTGTTCTCATTTGATCCATGGGGCGGTGGTGTTGTGCACAGTGTCAACCACCCAGATCCCTTTTCAAAACGCCTGCACTTCATCTGATATTAGAGTTTCTTGGGTGTCTGTGACCCTTTTCTGTAGGCTTCTATAAAAGTGTGCAGGATTTTCCCTGAAGGGCTTGTTCTGTTTATAGAATTTAGATCGCTCGTCATATCTTTTTATCCGTTGGGCCCTTGAAGTTAGTTTTTGCTTCAAAATTTCTATCAACTCTACGATATTTTCTGTTTCCATTTTTAATTTCCACTAATTGGGAAATCTCTTTTCTAAGGCCAGATATCTTTGATCGCAATCTTCTCTTCCACGGAGGTTCTCCACCCCTTCTTTCGTTTGTTCTCATGTTGCCACTACGTATACCGTCAAAAATGACCCGTCCTGCAGCATAGATTATTTTATTAAGGTCTGTTAGGTTTATTTCAACTTTGCTCTTCGATATGATGTTCCTTAAAGCACCATCTACTTGGTTTATGTACACGATCATCTCATTTGTCTCCTTGATCTTCGAAAGAGGCTCCCTTGCTTCAATTTCCATGTTGTTATCGGCTGCAATGTATCTTTATATTTTCTGTTCTAATTTACGTCCCGTGTCAATCAGTTGACTCACTGTCTTGTTTTCTTCGGACGCTAGCTGTACCGGCACATCGTCTTGTTCATGCAACATGCATGTTCCTCCTGTACTTCCCTGACTATGTTCCTTACTTGCACCGGTCATCTGCCTGTCATCTCCCCTGACACCAGCAAGGAACTTGTTTACGTCATCTTTTACATCTTTTAGGTCTTGCTCGTTAAGTTTACGTTTGTTCTGAATAAATCTTCTCTGTGTTGCTAACGTATTCGGACTTAGGTTAGTTCGTACGTCTGGATTCCTGTCCCTCCATATCTTATATGTTTCCTTTACAATATTTGTTCCCACTGTCCCTACAGTGCAATAATAGTACCACATTATCTCCTTGTACTCATCTAAACCCCACTTTATTCTTCCACTCGTTTGTTTCCTGTGCGAGTTTCCATGCAGTTTAGAGGGGCCAGGTTGAGATTGACTCGTTTGGTTCTCTTCTGAAACGTCATTGTCGTGGAGGATGTTAGAACCTCGAGATGTCATTTATATCATGCCAGATCCAGTTTCATTGCCATTGTCGTTTGCAGCTATGTCTTCCCGACCCGCCCTGCTGCCCCGGCCCGCCTGAATGAAGGTCATTGTCAGTTTTATCCTTTACTTTACCTTCTAGGGTGGCAGTTTAGAGCTCTGCCAAGCAGGCCTCCGACAGCCTCATTACCAGCCGCCCCTAACATGGGGAACAGACGCTGTAGAGGTACCTAACATGGTGAACAGACATTCCTCTGCTGATTTTGGTTCGCCCCTTGCTACCAAGGTGCTTCCCATATCTAGGAAGCGTTCTCCTATCCACCGCCTGGGGAGGCGCCCACAAGAGTTATTATTATTATTATTAAATAAATTTATGGAATGATGATTCATCCAAACCAGTGGGGTAAGATGCTACAGCGCATTGCCAGAGCTCACAAACTCAACAACGGTTACAAATCAGACGAGACGTAAAAAATTACTCGCGCAAACTCTTTTTTGAGGTTAATTTTTCCTTGATGGACAACAATTGTTTGTAGGACCTGAGCAGCATAGATTTTGCATCCTACACGAAACTCAACCACGCTGGCTTGTTGCTATTAGCCATTATCCCCTTGCAAGGAGCTATTGATTCCGGCCGATTCTATCGTGACCGTAACGCATCAAGACATCTACCAGAATGTTCTCTCGTCGCGACCTCCATATTTTCTCACACCCTAAGACATAAGTAGTCTAGAAAAACCTCTTAAGTTGGAGGTTGCACGCAAAGAGTTTTAAGAGTTTTAGAGTTTTAATTATTCCAAAAAGCGATACGGTTGAAAATATGTACAATATTATCCAATATAGCTTTCTAATATATCCTGATGCTGACTTCGATACTGATTTCATGCTTTATTCGTATCCGCTACATCAAAATTAGTGTCTAGTTTTTCGGGTAGAAATGCACGATTTTGTTCACAAATCTTAAGGTATAGGCCACCTTACAATAAAATGAGACGTGGCACGTTTCTAGCTCGAATATTTAGGTTCGAGCGAAGTTACAAACACTGATGGTTGCGTGTAAAAAATCGCATTATGGAGTTATCATTTTTATGTTCTCTTAAATCGCGTATGATGGAGTTTGCGGCTCATTTATTCTCTTTGGGCGTTCTTTCACCATCCGAGTGCTCTGCTGTCATGATATTTTCAGGAAGGCTCGTTTAACCTTTGTTAATTACTATTACAGTCTCCATACTGGAATCCAGTCTCCCACTTGGGTGGTTTTTTTATGCTTTCGTATGACTATAAGTATCTTGATTATTTGGCCGCTTCCAAACGCTATAGGTTGAAGTAGATTAGGTGTATTTTTCAAAATGTAGTGCTGGCAGCGACATTATTTCTTTTTCTGCTGGATGTCTGTTTATTTGTATCTCAAATCTTTCCAAATTTCTCATCCCAGGACGCCAAAGGTGAATCAAAATACTGTGTGATTTAAAAAGTCTTTAAACTCGCATAATGAACACAGTGGTATCAGAAAAAATATGTTTATGTTAGTGGACTACCAGGCACCCCTATGATCACATGAGCAGTTTCAAGTTTATCTGAAAAATAGTTTTCTCTGTACAACGCCAGCGGTTTGAGGCATACATGCTTCGTGTTATCTTATAGAACGAATAAATTTAAGAAATGTGCAGTCGCTAAGGACTTGTACAAAAAAGGAATGAACGGAGATGGAATTTATATTGAGATGGATAAAACTGATTTCATGCATCAATTTATAATTGAGGTTTGCTAGTATAACCATAAATAATGACATCAAAATGCAGAGTGGATTGATCTGCGGCAAGTAAAGTTGTAGAAATCGCCCGAAAAGACTATGGCGTTTGGTGATGGTAGTTTTTCTGCGAAATGGTAAAACTATAGTAGCAGAATACTACTATAACCTTTTCTCGATGAGCCGGCTGTAAAAATTCGAGAGAAAAGATCAACTATGTTTCGAATTGCTAGACTTTTTGTTCTCGGGCCTTGAAAAGTTTCTACGTGGCAAGAGTGTTTTCACGGCTATAGACAGATATTTTGCAGAAAATTGAACATTGAACTCAAAAAATATTATATTAAAGAACAAACGTATTTTCAGAGATCTTGGATAAGTATTTTTTCCATGTAGGGTCTAGATTCTTTTGAAATCATCTAGTATGTAGGGGGTATGTTGAGCACCTCTAACTGATTGTTGATCATAATTCAATATTTTTGTACGAAGAAGAGGACTTCCTCAGGAAAGTGGATATTTTAGAAATAAGATTGAAGGGTCGTGCATTTGTCCACGCAAGACGGACTCAAGCCAATCTTACAATCTTATTAGTGCTTGTAGAGATGTAATTCTAGGATGATATATATGTTTCTTTTCTAGAGAGCACAATGGATCGGTTAATAATATGAACTTACCTGTACCTGCTTGCCCATGACCTGTTTTCCAAACTCCACCTGAAGCAGCAGCGCCACCAGCTGCTGCTCCAGGTTGGTGATTAGTCCCCGGGACGTTCCATCCGTAAGGCTTTTGTTGTCCTGAAGCCGGTGCTGACTGGTGCTGCGTATTCACGGACTGTTTTTTGAATCCTGACTCTGGAGCTGGTGGCGGCGCTGCAGCCTGTCCTGTCTGCGTACCTGTTGAAGTCTTCTTCGAAGATTTCCGGTTGAATAGGCTCCAGCCGCCTCCTAATAAAGATGATAATAAAGTACTCTGGTTTGTTTAATAGTAGTAGTGGTGGTGGGGAGTCGAAGCCTGGCAACTAGGCCACCTTTGACACTTTTTGCCGACCTCATTGTACCGTGCTTGCTTCCTCTGAGTAAAAATAATTTTATTTCAGCGAAATTATAATTAGACATAAGAAATAGGAAGTCGTGATTAAATTTTAAAGTGGAAATTTACGGTACAGTTAGATTGCGCTAATAATGATTTGGTCCACCTTGACGGCGCGTGTTTCCTATGAGACGACGTGTGTCATCTTGAAATATCTCATGCCAAGCTAGCTGCACTTGATTGCCATCATTATCACTCGCATGTTGAATTGGCGAATGGTCTGAAGATCTAGACGGCCAAGTGAGGAAGTTGATGTGGCCGTTACTGTAGCTATATCAATATGGGTGTGGCGAATACCTTGTTAGAAAATAGGGTTCTCAAGCACTTGGAGAAATGGAATAAGATGAGGTTCTAGTACTTCCTGGATCTAAAACTGCATCGTAATAACTTCTCTAATAGAAACTGGAAGGGACTAAGGCCAGAGGTAGTGGCACTCTAAACCACTGATGATTGTGGTGTAAGTGCCTTTAGCCGAAATAGCACAATGCCCGGCTATCACGAATTCCTAATACACAACTGAGACCAAGAAAATTGGGATAATAAATGTTCTTCCTTGTGAACTACTGAGCGCGGCCAAGGCAATTGCTTGTGCCGAAAGTTGTTATATTCAGTAAACGTTCGGACGTAAACTCACTCTACTCCCGGAAGCATTTTAACACTATGGTATAGGGTTCGGCACCAGCCTTAATTTTATTGGTCAATTTCAATTTATTCAACCAATGACAAGCCGGGTGCCGAAACCATTACCGGAATGTTAAACAGTGCTGTAAACAGTGTCAGAATGTTATCAATTTAAATTGCTTCTACTAATATATCGAGTGCTGAAATCACTACCCGAATGTTGAGGATTACCGAAATACAGTTCGGAATCTCGAAGGTCGCCGATGCGTAAGGAAGTTCTTTATCGTTACGCAGTTTACGTTAGATATTATAACCTCAAAGTTTAAGCGTCATCGTTTTTAATACGTTTAGAGTTGAGCAGAACAATGGAAGGTTGCGTTAAAATAAAAAACAATATATACAGGGGAAAGTTTACAGACGAAGAAGGCACTATGCAGTTGCTGAGAGATTATGAGGTAGAAACTCTTACAACTTGGCGATTCAAATGTGGTCTCGCAAATCCGCGTCGCCTTGTATATAGGTAAGTGTATTGTTATTGTAAAGGATTATTTATTTGATTCTAATCACGACCGTAGCTTTTTTATTTTTGGAGCTAGACTTTTATTGAATGTTTTCGAGCTAGATTGTTCTTGTTTGGGTTAGAACTAATTTTCAGAATACCTACTTCGAAAATTCAAGGCGCACGGTGCAAAATATATTTTTAACCGACTTCCCAAAAGATGGAGGTTTTCAATTCGTCAGCTATATTTTTTTCTATGTGTGTTTACCGATTTTTTCAAGATGGCTTATCCGATTATGATAATTATTTTTTTAAATGAAAGGGTATAAATGCCTCTGGGGTAGTCCCATATTAATTTGATGAAAAGATATTGACTTCAAAAGAGGAAATCAGTTGATGAAATTATTGTTAAGGCAAATCTGGAGTATTTGTGTGTTAATTTAGTTTTTTGGTCAGGGAGGTTGCCTTCATGAGTGACCCGAAATAAGTAGGTATTACAAGGGGTTGCAAAAGGTTACCGATTGGTCGGCCACCAAAAGAAGAAGGCGCACCAAGAAAAAGAAAGAGAAGCACTCAATGTAAAGCAAAATTTACCGAATGCTAAGTCTCATGGAACAGGTCACTGAAACCTATTACATTATTATTTTGTTAATTTTCGAATTTTCTTTTTTATTTTTGAATATTCTTGTTTTTTGAATTTTCTTGTTTATTTTTGAACGGACCAATAAACATTCACATTTAATATGTTTATTTTCTACTACCTTTTCACGAAAAGTGATAATTTCTTCCCTGAAATGATAAATGCTGTACTTGAATGAGAAAATACACTCTGTGTATAGATATTAGAATTTAGCTTCTTACATTACGTGGGAGGAAAATACCACTTTTCCACCCGCGGATTATTTATACAAAAATCCAAAAAAAGTATATGATTTTTTAGATTTTTCCATTTCCTTGCATTCTTTTTAAATTCAGTTATTTTCTATGATATATAATTTTAAATTTTTCATGGGATTTTTCTTATTGCTAAACCAAATTATTAATTTTAAAATCATTAAATATCGTAATAGGAAACAACGTGCGTTGATTATTATCTTACGTATTTTTAGCGGAAGGTAAGTAAATTTAAATTTAAATTGATAACATTCTGACCCCATGCTCAGCACTGTTTAACATTCCGGTAGTGATTTCGGCACCCGGCTTGTTATTGGTTGAATAAATTGAAATTGACCAATAAAATTAAGGCTGGTGCCGAATCCTATACCACAGTGTTAAAATGCCTCCCGGAATGTCTGGGTGAAGGGTGGTTTCGAGGGAACAACATCGATGATAAAATTTGTTTCACGAGCATTTGTGGGATTAACAGCAACATTGATGCTGTTCATCACTGCCTGCAACCTAATCGTCCCACCGTGCTTTTCTTGGCGGAGAGAAAGATGTCAGATTCTGCACCGATTAATCAGCTTAGCTTCCCAAATTACGAGGTGCACTCCAATCTGAGAAAGAACAGGGAAGTTGAGCGTCAAGTTCACTGAAGTGAAATTCTCCCACTGCCGACACATCAAAAGTTTACTATTTTCAGGTTTTCGTTTTTTTTTTTGAGAACTAGACGAGGTGCTATTTTTGTTTTCGACAACATACATATGACAATACTGGTAAATGTGAATGTCATCTTAAAATTTATGTTACTGGATGATGGAGTACCATATCGAAAGAAAATAGAAAGATGTGAAAAACTCAACATTATGAAGTAATAATGTTATTACTGAAGGTCCGATTAAGTTGGTGAATTCATAAATGACGATTAGTGCTGGCCAATATATTATTCCAGAGCTTAGCAAGGCTGTAGTCCAAAAAGAGCTTGTTCAAGTACCTAACTATAAAACATCCGTAAAGTAATTTGTTATTCAGCATCCGTGATTGAAATAAATTGCAGCACTACATGGAGATGGATCAGCCAGACAATCACAGGATAAGTTCTTGATGTTAAGAAAACTATCAGCTAAAAAAGCACTTTTGTTGTATATGAATGCCTTTTTGTGAAAACTGTTTGTATTATTCTATGTTCCAATTCCCTGAGTCATGTTAATACTAGGTTAACATACAATGTACGTGAAGTAATTTAAAATCTTTGGGGAAGATCTCGTTGACTGTGCCTCTTTGCTGAGGCGAATTCTTCTCAAAACTTTTGAGCTACTGAACCTAAATGGTTCATTAAAAACACTAACCAGATTTACCTCTGGAACTACCACCTCTGGACCCCCCACCTCTTTTACACTCCACGGTCACCAAAACACCGACCAGTAACAGTATATAGAATGTCACTATTAACTTCATTTTTTATTTCGTTCCTTTGGGCTTTATACAAACTCAAAGAATATAACAATTCACCTCGTGAATGATACGTTTCTTGTTGGGATGCTATGGAAACCCTCTACTAACACTAAAACTTATAACGAGATATATCCGTCCTGCAGCCGTGGGGCCGAAGTGCTACAATCACCGATAACCAAGTCAAATTGGGAAATTATTAGAAGTCAAAAGATGTTTGAGTTAATATGAGCGATGCTGGGAAATGCTATTGGTTCAGACGCTAATGTCTCAATACTGCTTTATAATTATCTGCGTTCTTTACTACCACACACTAAAATGGATGATCTTGTATAAGGAATACTTAACAATTTTGATTCTAACAACTAGTGACTTCAATATCTTTCTGCGACAAAATTAATTTTTTGAGATTCTAAAATCTGGTGACGCATATGTGGTGAACGTCCTTGTTTGGCTTCTTAGAAGCGGACAGTGTCGTTCAGAGATGCCGACAAACTGTGATTTCCCGGTACCATATGTTGAGGTCAGTGGTACTGCCATTGGCGAAACTACTCATAGATGGCAGTGTCACCTTTATTTTTCGCTAGTGACTTTTACTTGAAAATGTAGAACACAAGGAGTTGAACTTTACAGATCAGATCAAAAACACATGTGTGCATATACTGCTTTTCAGAACTGTCCCCCTACGTATTTTTTGACGGGACTAAGTTAGCAAGCTGAAAATTGGGTGATTAACATCAGAATAACTGTTGAAAATTCCAAAATGGTGGCTGGGCGTCATCCTGGAGTATTTTTTAATGATGGGTCATGGTCATGGTTAACGCTCCTTATTATTACTTTCGTTCAAAATGGCGGACTGACAGGCTCTCAACGTTAAGCGTTTTTGTACATTGAGTCGCTTATAACTTATTATTATACAGGGTGACTTCGAAGTTGAGTCATTTATTTTAACAGTGAGTAGATCTGTTCAAAAGAAATGTTTTTTTCATTTAACATTTTTCTGGTAAAATTAAAGTAATAAAGTTATAGCCCTTTAGAAGTTTGAGTACCGCCCTGTCTCAATAATAATATTATGTGCTCGTGTTTGGCAACAACGGATATAATCCGCCTTATCGGTTCATCGCATCGGAAACAAAAAAGCGAAAGAATTTGAAACGCTGATCACGATGTTTTTATTCAGTCAATGTGTCAGTCGGTAACGCGTGAGTGAATAGTGGTGTTTGCTGCGTGGCTCAAACGAAATAAAAAATGGCACATGTTTATGCGGATCGGTTTCCCAATCGAGTGCAACCAACCCCTTATGCCTTTGTTAATGTAGTACAACGGGCTCGTGAATCAGGTGACTTAAGACCTCACAGAGGAGGGCATGCCGGTGCTCCAAGACCTCACGATCAAATACAGGTCCGCACTGAAATACTTGTCGGGAGGATACTTTATAAAACAAGGTAACATTTTTTTTTTAATTTTTTTTTTATTTTTACACACATATTTTGGTTTATCTTCCTTCTACAATCATTATCTGAAAATTATTGACTCAACTTCAAAGTCACCCTGTATATCAATCTTTTTCTTGTCGAACGATGTATCCGAGTGTGCAAAAAATATGTGCCACCAAGTTAAAAAAATTGCAGCTTATGAATTATAAGCGAACGTCACGGTTTTAAATCACTGATATCAAAAAGAAACGATGTCATATATCCAAGATATTCAAAAATAACGATATCGGCCATCTCTAACGTCACGTTACATTGCAGTAATCTCACGTACTGCCTCTACAGAAAGCTTTCTTATTTTCTGCAAATTATAACTCCACACAACTCACTCCACTCTCGGAATGTCCGGGTGGAGGGGGGCTCGAGGAAACAACATCGAAGATAAAATTTGTTTCACAACATCTGCGGGATTAACAACAACGTTGATGCTGTTCATCACTACTTGTAATCCAATCGTCCCACCATGCTTTTTTTGGCGCAGACAAAAATCGCAGAGTCTGCACCGATTAACTATCTTAGATTGCCAAATTACGAGACGCACCCTAAGAAAGAACTGGGGAGTTGTGGCTTTTGCTCGCAGCAGTCTTTCCTGCTCCAGCGCCGTTTCTCTGGAATCAGATTGGAATGACATTCTGTGGCTTCGTCTCAACTCCAAAACATCCCCTAAATTTATTTGCTGCGTTTAACACTCTCTCGTGGACCATAAATGGGATGACCTACTTCAACACCTCGCCGTCACGATCGACTCCCTGAACATCAATTACCCCGCCTCAGAGGTGGTTCTTCTCGGTGATTTCAATGCCCATAATGAGCTTTGGTTGAGCTCAAACAAGACCGATGCAGCAGGTCGTGCAGTTGAAGCGTTCGCTCTTACTTAAGGGCTGACCCAGCTGGTGACGAGCCCTACTTTTTTCCCCGCGTCTCGTCACAAGCCAGTAGCCTGTTGGATCTCTTATTGATCACGCATCCTGTCCCTTACAGGACTGCTGCCCTGTCCCCCCTGGGTAACTCAGACCACGGTGTTGTGGAGGTTAGGTTTCAGGCCGCAAAATTTGGCATTACGGACATGCTGACTGGGAGGGGCTCAGAGACTTCTTCTCTACCTTTCCTTGGAAAGATGTCTGTTTCACTGACGCGGATGCGTCGGCTGTCTGTTCTACGATAACCGAAATTATCCACGTCGCAATGGAGGAATCCAAACCTCACACAGCGAAAGTGCCTGAACTAGGATCCAACGGTTGCTTTAACAAATCGTGTGACACTGCTCGCCAGCAGAAGATCAAGGCACACAGAACCTATTTACAAAATCCCACTGTAGAGAACAGAAACAAATATAACGAAGCGGTTCGCAATACCAAAAACCAGCATGATATAAAAGTTAGGCACAGGGTAATGTCGCAGCGCAATGGCAGTCGGTCTCTCTGGACGCTGGCCAAGCAGATTGAAAAGAACTTCTCACACAGTAGCCTTCCACTACTTACGTGTCAGGATGGAACAATTATATTAGACTCAAAGGCCAAGGCGGCAGTGCTCGCCAAGATCTTTCCTGCCAACACTACCATGGACGTCCCCCCAACGCCCAAGTGCCGTCAAATCAAAGGGTTCCCTTCACTATGCAGGAGGTAACATTCAGGCATAAGACTGTAAGATGAGTGCCCTTGTCGCTCGACATCAATAAAGCTCCTGGTTCGGACTTGATTCCTGTCATTGTACTGAAGAGGTGTGCAGCGGAGCTTGCTCCAGTTCTTTCGCGTCTCTTCCAGATATCTTATGAATCCGGCACCTTCCCAGAAAACTGGAAATTTGCTCATGTCCAACCCATCCCAAAAAAAGGATCTAAGACCGACCCTTACAACTACAGGCCTATAGCTCTGCTTTCTGTTATAGGTAAGGTGTCGGAGAGGTGCATAAATCGCGAGCTTCTAGACTACCTTGAACATCACAGCTTGACTAGCGACAAGCAGTTTGGTTTCCGGCACCAGCGATCCACAGGGGACCTCCTAGCTTACGTCACGCAATTGTTGAGTAAACTCATCCAGTCTTATGGTGAGGCTCATGCCGTTGCTCTTGACATCACGAAAGCGTTCGATCAGCTGTGGCACGCTGCCATCTTAAGCAAACGTTCATCCTATGGCCTTCCAGAAAAGCTTTGCAGATGGGTGGCTGACTTTATCTCTGGCCGCAAGATAGCCGTCGTAATTGCCGGGTTCTCCCTTTCATCCCACAACGTCAACGCGGCTGTTCCCCAGGGATCGGTCTTGGCTTCAACACTGTTTCTCTTACATATCAACGAACTGCTTTCCTGCACGATCAACCCAATACACAGCTCTGCTGATGACAGCACTCTACATGCAGGAATTCAGAGTGACAAGCTGATCTCTTCCGCTGAGCTGAAAAAAAGAAGACGAGTGACGACTTCCTCTCTGACGAGATACCTGGAGGTTATCACTGCTTGGGGACGGGGACGCAACAATCTTGTACAGTTTAATGCTTGCAAAACACAGTACTGTCCTTTGACGAACAAAAAGCGTCCTAGCGCTCATCCGGTTTCGATGGATTGCCGAGTTCTGCTAAAGAGACATTCATCTCGGCTGGTCGGAGTCTAGATCACCGAGTTCCTTATCTGGCACGAACACATCTCTAGCTGAGCTATTTGTTTAAGGCTAAGAAGTACTTTTCACCGCATGGACAGAGTTTGGTATCAGGTTCCACAAATGAAGACTTTGGTTTGAAACAATAACACATTATTTGTTACAAGCCACGTTAAAATTATTAAACATAAGGGAATAACTATAGGAGTACACATACCAGGAACAATCCGTTCGCACTTAAAAACATTACATCATAAATGAGGAATAATTAATGAGAATTTTGTTCGTTGGGATTCTCCTATCATTCACGGAGCCGCTTGTTTTAAGTATTGCCACAGATTAGCTAACTATTGATTTACTGTGCTTCCTATGTGTTTCAACCATGTTTCGGGATTAGGCACATATCTACTAGAGACACATACATCGGCAGTGAAAGAATGGGAACAGCACATATAGGGGCGATGCGTGTCTCTCGTAACAATAGGGCAACTCCAGCTGTCCTGGATTACGTATCCTCTCTTATGATTGTCTATTGCGATGTGCTTGCAGTTTCTATCGAAAAAGTATGAAAATATTATAAATTTAATTATTGTCTTGTTGACAGCAAGGACCTATTCAGGAGTGATTAGGGGTTAAATCCCCCCAACTCCAATAGGTCTTTCATCACACAAAGCTGCAATAATATTTTTCTCAACAAATCTATACTTATATATTAGATACCCAGAAAAAATTAATGGTAAAATGATGAAATTACAATCTTATTAAATTATTTAAAATAAATATCTATGTTTTTATTTTCTTAATGTTCACCGAGCTCTACGCTAGGCTGCCACGTAAGTAAGCGCGTTTAGACTGTCTCTTCAGTAACTAGAAAACGTTGGCCAATATTTCTTGTAATCAAATGCAAAGTAGCATGATCGGCGCTCAGTCAGAGCGTCTATTCATTAATGAGATTGTTGATGGCGATTTTTTAATGAATTTTCAAGGAAAAGTTTTGTGTTTTGTAACATTTTGGAAGCAAATAACGAGTAAGC